ATACCAGCCTGTTCACCGCACTTGCTTCCCCAGCTCACGCATCCAATGAGGATGTTGCCGTCCACGAGAAGCGGACCACCCGAGTCACCATTGCACGTGTCCCTGCCGTCACCGGTTCCGGCACACAGCATACCTTCCGTGACACGGCCAACGTACTTCTTAAATTTGCCACACTCCGCGTTCGAGATGACAGGAAGCGTGAGCTGCTGCAGGATAGGGCTGCCCAGCTCGCCGCTGGTCTCGGTCTTGCCCCATCCTAGAACAGTACCAAGGGTACCGACCTTGTTGCTGGATCCGTCTGCTGCGCACAGCTTTGCCGTTTTGCGCTTAATCGGCTTTTTGAGTTTAAGCAAACCCACATCGTACAAGTGCTCCTTCTTCTTGTACAACGGGTGGCGGAAACCTTTAATGACGGGTATCGAGGTGGCTTCACCGGAGCCAGAACCAGTGCTGTCGTTCGTACCAAAAGTGGCGACAATGTCCATCTCGCTAGTCCTAATGCAATGACCAGCCGTAAGAATGTACTGGGGGGCGATGAGCGTACCGGCACAGAAGGTCTCGTCAAAGAAAGAATCACGCAGACTAGCGAGGAACGGGAACTTGTCGATGTTTGCATCTGAACCCTCGTAAATGCGGTTCTCCTCATTGGCAGTCAAGCCAGTGCTCTCTTTCTCGGTATTGACCGTCGTGGAAACATCGGAAAACGAGTAGCCATACGTGAACGTCGCAAGGGATGCCACTGTCGCGGCGAAGGCGCCAACCTGTACAATCTTCATCGTTCGGACTGTTTGGAGGATTTAGCACCTATTAGGTCCTTCGAAGGTCCCGGAGTGGTGAAAACCAAAATGATCTGGTCGAGCATATCGTCCGGGATATACCATACGGGCTATCCGTCAAGGCTTCCGGGTTGAGTCAAGCCGGAAGCTGTGGTGCTAGCAAAGTTTGCCAAAAACAGTTGTGGACAATGTCCACTGGACATTCTTGCGATAATTATGGATAGGGCAAAAAACGTAATTCAGAAGCTTCGGACATGCCTACAGTACGTGCCACGTGCAGTGCCGGAAAACAGCAGGTTTGTAATGTTTCATAATGAAACTTTCATTGCATCGCAAGAGAAAGAAAAAGATGGGGAATGCGACAAAATACCATAAACACTACTGGAACCAGCGTCCACCACCACTGTCGAGCCATAGGACTCGGCGTTGGCAGAATTGGAAGAAAAGGGAAGAACACTTGCGAAGAACTTAGTAAAAAGAAGAGTGAGATTGAGATTGAAGAGAGTAAGTGATGCGTGGCTGAGCAGCAGCCAACCATCTAGAATTCTGGTAAAAACCCAGTTCTAGATGGTCAATACAGCTTCTAGATCAATAATATTTACGAGGTTGGTGTACATGTGGTGTGGAGGAGACCAACACTCACAACCACAAAATGCATAATAGCACTACAGCAGAGCAAGTACAGTGCACGTGTGTGCTTTGCCGCAAAGCCTTTGCGAAACGAGCGCCAGACTGGCGGCCAGTGGTACACCATTGTTACTTAAAATTAGCACTATCCACACAACAGAAAACGCCCCACACAGAGCAAGTCACCACCGCTTAAGGACAAGATATGCGGCGCCATTGACACCACGCACCACTGAGGCAGCGCTTTCTTGCACAAGAGGATCTTTGCCAGACATGGCCTGTGAAATAAACGTTCGTGGTGAAGTAATACGGAGGGGGCGAGGGGGCGCCACCACCACAGTCGAGGTGCGTCAATACGGCTATGCGGAATTGCTGCTATAGGTGTGGCTTAATAAATGTTGCTGCGTAGATCCAGGAAGCTCCAAACGGTCTAGCACAGCGGTGTCCGGTAGCCGGAGGTGCTGTCAAGGTCAAGGAGCCAAGGAGAGTTGTCACCAGCTAGTGATCCGTTCGGTGACGTCCTGCGTCAATGTTACATTTAGTGCGACCAGAAAGCTGAGGAACACCTGGTTGGCTGCCTCACAGCTGTAAGTCCCTAAACGGTGGGTAGCGCATATCGGCTTTTGTAACTAGAGTACTGACGAATATCTGTTCGATGTGACTATTAGGCTACTGCTGGTCCGGAGAGCGTAAGGACAGACAGAAACAGCATCATCTCTGAGTTACGCTGAATCAACGGTGGCCGTACTGCTACCATTCGTCGCCCCAGTGCAGAGCAGCATACAAGGAGCACATGTACGAATACGAGTTGCAGTATTGGTACATCTATATGCTGAAGAGTTATTTCTCGTTCTTGTTTTGAATTACCTGCCTACTAACGACGTTCATTATCTAGAGCATGCTTGTTATTCATTGGCCTTCCTGCAGATTGTCGAATATCACGGCCTGGACCGCGGTAACAAAAGCGCTCTCTTTCTCCGTCGTGAGTTCGATCGTACATCGCTAGGAGTGAGTGGACACATACAGCATACTTCATGTTGTACAGGCAGGGACAACGTCCTGTGGCGGCGTCAATAGCCCACCCAGCTGGCGGC